ATATTGTCATCATCACCAACACATGTAGTTGATGACCATGTGCATATCCCTTTCCCCCCACATTTTCATATTGTCATCATCATCACCAACACATGTAGTTGATGACCATGTGCATATCCCTTTCCCCCCACATTTTCATATTGTCATCATCATCACTAACACATGTAGTTGATGACCATGTGCATATCCCTTTCCCCCCACATTTTCATATTGTCATCATCATCACCAACACATGTAGTTGATGACCATGTGCATATCCCTTTCCCCCCACATTTTCATATTGTCATCATCATCACCAACACATGTAGTTGATGACCATGTGCATATCCCTTTCCCCCCACATTTTCATATTGTCATCATCATCACCAACACATGTAGTTGATGACCATGTGCATATCCCTTTCCCCCCACATTTTCATATTGTCATCATCATCACCAACACATGTAGTTGATGACCATGTGCATATCCCTTTCCCCCCACATTTTCATATTGTCATCATCATCACCAACACATGTAGTTGATGACCATGTGCATATCCCTTTCCCCCCACATTTTCATATTGTCATCATCATCACCAACACATGTGCATATTTCGCTGCGTGTTGAAAATCGCTCTCACTGCGTTAACACAAAACAAGCTTGATCAACGGGATCATACCCCGTACATACTAGGGCCAGTTGGTAGACATTCCAGAGTAGCATTACAATTTCCATCATCATCAACGTTTCAGGTTTTCCCTGATGCCGCCTCTTGCTGTTTACGGTGTCACCAAAACTGCTCTCACTGGACTGATGAAAGCTCTAGCGCAAGAACTAGGTGAGATGAAACTACATGTTCCGAAATTAATGGAGTTTCACCCTAGCGATATGAAAAATGGAATAATGTGCAGTGTGAAGCGAGAAGTTATGCATATCTAAGACTCCTCAAATTTGAGATTAATACGACTATAAACTACGAAACGCTTCTAAAACGATTCACATTGTTATCATGTTGATATCACAAAAAATTGAAGTCGTTGAGAATACTATTTCACATTCGCAGTAGTCGTGTTTTTCATATCACTAGGGTGTAACCCCACTGATATTGCAGGTCCTGACGGTATTCGAGTCAACGCTCTCGCTCCTGGAGTTGTCAGAACAAAGTGAGTAGAAAAATACAGTGCGTGTCAATTTGATATGTAAATGTTTGCCACCGAGTTTTACGCCACTTCACGTAAAACTGATGAAACTCCTATGAAAACTCACAAGTACTAAAAACACTTTTTCCTTCTCAGATTCAGCGAGCTCCTATGGAAGAACGAAAACGCCAAAAATCTATGGACAAATCAGTCTATGTTACAGCGCATCGCAGAACCGGTGAGGATAATTTCCGAAAATTTTCAGAAGTCTTCTTTTCCCCTCAGGAGGAGATGGCCGGCCCTGCGGCATTCCTGTGCTCATCAGACGCCTCCTACGTCACTGGAGAGACTCTTCTCGCGTCTGGTGGGGTCAGTTCCCGGTTGTGATTTTTTCATAAGTTTCATGTTAATCATGAATGTGTTGAATTGAGTACACTGCAAGGAAATAGAGCATCGGTTGAGTTTCACCCGTGATACGAAAAAGTAAATTTCACAATTAAGCACGTGATGTGTTTTAAGTGAAGAGAAAAGGAAAAAATAGTGACAGTTCTGGGTCGAGAAAAGGAAAAAATAGTGACAGTTCTGGGTCGAGAAAAGGAAAAAATAGTGACAGTTCTGGGTCGAGAAAAGGAAAAAATAGTGACAGTTCTGGGTCAAGAAAAGGAAGAAATAGTGACAGTTCTGGGTCAGCAAAAGATGGATCATTTTCCCTTACTCTCTTGTTGTTGTCAAAAGATTAGCAAATAGAAATTCATGTAACAGTAAGGCGAGTCCAACAAGAATGGTCATCCAGAACTGTCACTATATTAGTGACAAGCCTAGTACAACTTATGGAGAAACAAGTTGGTGCGAAGAAATGTTTTTTATTCCAACTTGAATGCAAATGGATTCCAATGAGAATCATGTACTGATTTTTTTATCAGTGATCGCTCAGGAGAGGAACTGTGCTACGATTATGGTGACTGTGTTGAGCGTTTTGTCACGCCAGTGGGGAGAGTTGGTAGATAAAGATGTTCCACCCGTTCAACGTGAAGTGGTGTAATACTCAATGTGGAAAACGCGATATAAAGTTAATTGAAAGTACTTGGCGGATCACACTTCGGAGTTGATCCAGAACTGTCACTATTTTTTCCTTTTCCTGCGTTATACTGACTATTAACACAAAGCGGTCCTTTCCAGTACACAATCGAATGTGAGGAACATTAAACTGTAGCCGTTCCGCTTGGGCGTTTGCTTCCTTCTTTCTTCTGATTATCCTAAAAATCCAATCGTGATGGTTACCAACAATTCACAAAAACTCACCCAAAACATTTGCGACACCGATTTTTCCTCGTAAATACGCAACATCACTTCCGCTAAGACTTGACCCAAAGAAAGGACCTGAAAATTTTCAAATAATAATCGATCAATTCACGAATTTTCTCACTCTTATTTTTTCGCTTTTCCGTGCGTGCTCAGGAAAAGGAAGCGAGTTGGTGATAACAACTTCAGTAACTCCTCGACGATTAATGCGCTCCATCGCTGCTGGTGACAACACGCCGTGAGTGGCGTACATGTAAATCCTAAAAATCATTAACAAGTTTATTAGCCCCTGCAGAGGTTTTCTTTTTTTGGGTAGAGTTTGGCAAATCCCACTGTGTTCTTTCGTGAAAAAATAGAACGAAATTTTGTGAAATTAAACTAAAAAGAAGAAAAATTATCGATGAAATACGAAAAAAAGTAGAAAATCTGTATTTATATTATTTATCGTCATTATTGTAATATATTCATATTGTGGAATTATACTAATAAGTGTGGTATCACGTATTTCGTTTAATATTGCGATATCAATGGAATTTTGTATTATTATATAAAACTATAAATCTATGAGATCGGTCACCGAAGAGAAAGGCCTTTTAATACAGGCAAATATCAGTGTTGCAGAAATATATATTCACTCTCTTCTGCTGGGCTCAGGAGTTAACAAAAATTCTCATCTCGTGCTTCATATTTTCCCATAAAAAATCGTTTACCTCCGCGCGCCGTGTTGGCGTAGATCCTTCACCGTTCGAGACATTCGTTTAGCGCTGTCGATGATGTCGTCAACAATGATACAGTCTCGGCCTTCAACTGAAAAGGGAATGTAAGTATCAGTGTTGGAGGAATATATGTTTGCTTCCCTCAGCTGAGCTCAAAAGAGTTTATATACGAATTATAGGGGAGAAGTGTACAGAAAACCAACAATAATTTCCTCTCAGAATTTCCATACGAATATTCACAATGGGCCTAATCCGTATCTTAGTCACTCGAACCTAAGATTCCCTCACCATCGCCAACCAGCCAATCTTTCGTCACCAGACTCGCCAACGACTTCTTCCATCCAGACGGCATTATCACTTGCTGACAAAAATGTCAAACAATCACCATTTTCACAGCGGAGCGAAGCACATACTGTCCCATCTGCCGATAAATGTGGTTTTCCTGTTGTTGCTATTGGTACTTCTCCGTCTTTTCCAATAATGGTAACAGCTTCGTCGGGCGATCGTTCCGCGAGCTGCGCTTTTCCTGAAAAAATAAGATTTGCGTATATACATATATTCATCCAGAGTAGTACCTAATGGTGAGCGACGATATGAAATTTTTGAGGAAATTTCGGAAAATTCTCATTGATTTCCGCACATTTTTACCCGAGTCCTATACTCAGTGAGGAAACTCCCGAGTTCAGTTGCATATATTCCAACAACGGTTGGTACGAAGTCGGACCTATTCCGTATCTTACTATTATAAAGATATGCGTGTGTATACTCATCGTCGCTTGCCTACATAGTGTAGGAATTTCTACTTAGGAGCGACGTATTAGACTTTCTCTCCAGTGCGGTAGAATATGCACATTTTTCTCTTGGTGCTAAAATGGAAATTCTGAGAAAATTTCGGGAAATACTCAACTACTTTTCTATTTTTCACTCGGATTTGTATATGAACTTCTATAATTAGTGAGGAAACTTCTAAGATCAGTTGAGGAAAGCAAACACATATATTCCTACGCTGCTTTCTCAGTTGGAAAAATAAATATTCGCTTTCCCCTACCAGGGAATTTACATACAAAATTTTGGTAGAAGTGTACAGGAAATTTCCTCACAAATTTACAATCGTCACTGCTTTTTTTTCTGAAGTTTCCAAAGTGCTTCGCAGAGACAAAAAAAATAACAAAATTTTCCTCCAAAATTAATACCAAAATCGCGTGAAATTAGCAATAAGAATTCCCTTCTACCCAACTTACGATTTGACACCATCGTTGCAAGCCCACAGTTAACACCATGATTCTGAAGTCTTCGCCAGAACAAGAACGCTCTGAAAAAAATAATAACAAAAAAAACTTCGCTCCGCTAAGCTGATCCCACCTATCACTAGCAGTGCTATCCGGGGCAACAATAACAGGATTATGAAGGTCTTTTCCAAGGAAGTATTTCAACGGCAACCCGAGAGGATCGATGTTCGTAACAGGAACGTCGAAACAGCTGAAATAAAAAATGCCTTTACCAGGGTTCGAACCAGGGACCTTTTGCTTACCCTTCCAAACTGCCCTCATGCAGATCCACTGTGACAATTCGATCGACTCCCATCGCCTCGTACATAAGTGCGATATCACTTGCAGCGAGCGGAGTTGCTGGTTGGGTCAGCGCCGGGTCTCCTGCTACGCCCTCAGATTCCATGTGTCTGAGTTCAACAATTAATTTTCACCCCGTGAAATGAAAAATTATAGAATTTCACCCGTTTAACGTGAAGTGAAGTAATACTACATGAAAATTTCAGGAAGTATATGTTTTTCAGTAGTTTTATGCGAAATCTATATTTTTTCATATCACTAGTGTGAAAGTGAAAAACATATTTTACGATCTACTTCGAGAAAAACAATTATACGACCGGTCGCAGAAACATATACTGGCTATACTCTACATGTAGTACTCACGTTAAACGGGTGAAACTCCAATAAAATACTCTGTTTATGGAGTTTCACCTGTTTTACGTGAGCTCCGTGAGAAACGCGATATTCACACTACGCAGTAGTCGTGAAATATGTTTTTCATATCACTAGGGTGAAAGTCCAAGGAAGCCATGTTTGAAATCTCTATAGAATATCAGTCTTGGAGGAGTATATGTTCGCTTTCCTCAGCTGAGCTCAGGAAATTTCCTCCTAATTTTCACACATAGTTGAACATTTTCCCTCCTCACCGAGCTACCCACCTAGCATATGCAAAGTAAGGGGTGACCAGCGTGATACTCCTAGCACTCGCTCTACGTAGCGCTGATATCTGTGATGGATATGAATATAAAGAAACGCTATTCTCGTAGTGTCTGTACCATCAGACAAGACTCCATAATAGCATCGTGTAAACATTTACTTCGAGAAACTCCACTTTTTTTACTAATGGGGAATTGCTGAGTATAGAAAACAACAACAAGGAGTATCCGAGCGGACCTATTCCGTATCTTTATCGACCAACCTGTATGATATAGCA